CTCTCTCTATATATACATGCCAAATCAAATAGAATCCAACAGGTTGTGTTATCAGGGGCAAAGCCCACCTTTACTGAGCCCTCACTAATCTGTCATGGACTGTTCTGAATGTTACAATTAAAAGAGTTCGTGTATTCAGAATAAACACCTATGTGGTAGGTACTATCATGAAAACACCGGAGCACAGAGAGGGTCAGTAACTTATCCCAGATCACACAGCAAGAAAGCAGCAGGAGCTGAGATTCAAGTCCAGGAAATCTACACTCTTAGCCCATAGCACACATTGCTACATTGTCTGTAGCCATGATTACTATTCATTGAGCATTTTCTTTGCCTGGAACATGGAGCTATTGTCTTAGAGCTACCTAATTTCATTTACTCCTCAGCACAGTCCCTTCAGGTGAGAGGTATTATTCTCACTTAAACGCAGAGACTGAACTACTTACTCAGGGTCCTGGTGTGTCTGGAGTATGGTTCCTTCTGGTGGGTTTGTGGTCTACCCTGACTTCAAAGAACCAAGACACGGACTTTTGCCATGAGTGTTTCAGCTCTTAAAGGTGGCACGAACCCAAAGAGCTAGAGAACAAAGCTTAAACAGCATGGAAGAAGACCCTAAAGGATTGCTGCTGCAGGCTGGTGGTAGTGGCCAGCTTTTATTCCCTTATTTGTCCCCGCCCATGTCCTGCTGATTGGTCCATTGTATAGAGTGCTGATTGGTTCATTTTACAGAGTGCTGGTTGGTCCATTTTACAAACCTCTAGCTAGCTACAGAGTGCTGATTGGTGCATTTTTACAGAGCACTGATTGGTGCATTTTACAAACTTTTAGCTAGCTACAGAGCATTGATTGGTGCATTTTACAAACCTCTAGCTGGCTAGAGAAAAGTTCTCCAAGTCCCCACTAGACCCAGGAAGTCCAGCTGGCTTCACCTCTCACTGGTACTAATTGGTGGTGGAATTGGATTTGGACATCAGGTTGATTCCCAAATCACTCCTCTCCCATATTCTTTCTGTTTTTTGACAGGCAGGGTCTTGGTGTGTTGCCCAAGCTGGAGTGCAGTGGTGCGATATAGACTCACTGCAGCCTCGACCTCCTGGGCTCAGGCAATCCGCCTCAGCCTCCTGGGTAAATAGGATCACAAGTGCGCATCACTATGCCTGGCTAATTTCATTTTTTTTTCTTTTTTAGATACAGGATCTCACTATCTTGCCTGGGCTGGTCTTGAACTGCTCAAGGGATCTTCCTACCTTGGCCTCCCAAAGTGCTGGGATTACAGGATGTGAACCATATGCCGACAGGGCTCTCCGATATTCTATATTTCTTGAGGCAGGGTCTCACTTTGTTCATCCAGGCTGGGAAATCAGAAGCTTTACTGGCAACCTTATCTTAACCAGGCTTGTATGATTTGTGCCAACCTCAGCCTTCCCCAGTAGGCTGGGACTACAGGTGCATGCCAGCCGATACCCAGCTGATTTTTTTTTTTTTTTTTTTTTGAGATGGGCAGTCCGGTTGCTCTGAGTGTGCCCAGACTGCGGAGGTAAGGGGGTTCTCGCCACCATCTGTCAGGGAGACGCAGGTGGACAATCTCTGGCTCACTGCTAAGCTCCGCCTCCAGGGTTCACGCCTGCTGCTCTGCCCAGTCCTTCCCGAGTATTGTCTGGGACTACAGGTGCCAGCTACGCGGACGCCCGGCTAACGTTTTTGAAATTTTTGTTAGATCCTAGTAGAACGGGTTTCCGCGAGGTTCCACCGTGTTGTTAGCCAGATCGGCTCGATCTCCCTGACCTTGTGATCCACCCGCCTCGGCCTCCCAGAGTGCTGGGATTACAGACTTGAGCCACTGTGCCCGGCCCTGTGTTTTTTGTAAAGATGGGGTTTCATGTTGCCTGTGCTGGTCTCAAACTCTTGAGCTTAAGCCATCTGCCTGCCTCTCCCTTCCAAACTACTGGGATTACAGGTGCGAGCCACTGCGCCTGGCTCCTCCATATTCTTAAATGTTAATTGAGGTCAGCAAAAATCCCCTGGTGACCATCAAGCAGACCTCCAGAGACAAAAACTCCTTCTCTGGGGAATTCAGAAGTAATTAGGTTTCCCTATTATCTAAAGGCACTGGTTCCAGGCCTCTTTTCAAGTTAAAATGTGCAAGTAACTAGAATTTCTATACATCTCCGGAATGCATGCATGCAGAAACTCATTGTTCAACCCTTGCTGATATCAAGGCACCAAATGTCTAAAAATGTAATCATGTATCATGCAAATTACCCTTCAGCTCCTACTTTAGGTCCATAAATATCCCTATCAAAAAGTCTGCTGTGATGCACTCTGTTCTGTCTCGCTGAGGCCTCCACTGAACTCTGCTGCAGTGTTCCTTCTTTCTAACCAAACTTCCCTTTTTCTTTCTTTCTTTTTCTTTTGAGATGGAGTTTCGCTGTTGTTGCCCAGGCACGATCTCCGCTCACCGCAACCTCCGCCTCCGGGCTTCAAGCAATTCTCCTGCCTCAGCCTCCCGAGTAGCTGGGATTACAGGCAGGCGCTATCACACCCGACTAATTTAAAACTTTCCTTTTTCAAACCTATACTGTTAGTAAATTCTTCTTACCAACCCACAAGCCGATCACTTTCCGAAGCCAGAGCTCTGACCCCTCACCTGGCATTAATAATTGTTGAAGGTGGACGATGGGTCCTGTATGGAGCCTAATGATGCGTTCAATCCATTGTAAAGGAAAAGAAAAATCTCAGGACCCCAAAACTCTTTATGCCAAAGTGAAGCCTGGAGACTGACTCATGCAGTAACCCCAACCTTTTCCCAGGCGAAGAGCTGCTGCTTCACAGGCTTGTGCTGAAGCATTATACAGTAGCCAGACTCCCATGAGGAGATGAAAAGTCTCATGGCTGCCCTCACAAATTGCTCATACATTCTTTGCTGGGCCCTAAACCTTTCAAGATATATAGATCCTCCCATAAAACAAGGACATATTAAGTATAACTTCAGGTTTGCAACCTAAGTCTAACCCCTAAAACTACAGTCTTTTAGGTTTTTCACACTGACAAGGCCGATTACAAGCTTATCTTCCCAAGTGCCTCACCTCCTAACCCTCTCTTTCTAGGTGCCTTCTTCCCTTTAAAGACATTTGTAAATTCTGAAAACTGCTTTGGAGAGCATGGGCCACGGATGTTTCTGTGACCTGTTTCTCCTGGGTGTGACCTCAAACTCTCACTCAACAAATCTCAATGAACTGAGTGAGACCCTTGGCTCAGTCTCTAATTTTGGGTTAACACTGTCTTAGTTCTTCAGTGGAATATTCAGCTGGGTTTAGGAACCAAATTAAATACAAGAAAGATTAACAAGAGAAAAGCATGCAAGTTTTCTGTTGTTGTTTGTTTTTGAGACAGGGTCTGGCTCTGTCACCGAGGCTGGAGTACAGTGATGTGATCACAGCTCACTGAAGCCTCAAATTCCTGGGCTCAAGGAATCCTCCCACCTCAACCTCCCGAGTAACTGGGACTATAGGCACGCACCACCACACCCAGCTAGTATTTTTTGTAGAGAGTCTCCCTATGTTGCCCAGGCTGGTCTTGAGCTCCTAGGCTAAAGTGATCCTCCTGCCTTGGTCTTCCAAAGTGCTTGGATTACAGGCGTGAGCCACCAAGCCCAGCTACAAGTTTTGTTAATTTTATGTACACATGAGGATCTTCACAAGAGAGTGAAGACCTAAGAAATGACCAAAGCAGAAAGCCTTTTGGACAAAGAATGATCGGTTTTATGAAGGCACTGGGAGAACGGGGGTGGCGGAGCGGGGAGAGAACGGGGTAGAGCCATGGGAAGTTGCACCCTTTGCAGGGGAGAGGAACCTGGCCTCTCCTGTTCCTTGGTGGTAACCTGGGATTCAATCTGTGAGGCGGGAAGCCTGCTAGCAGGACTCTTGCTTTGCTGAGAGTCCCTGTTCCCTTTTTTTTAATTGTTCCTTTTCAAACAATAAACCCTACCTTTCTCACCCTTCGAAGTGTCTGTGAGCCTAATCTTTCATCATTGTGAGAAAAGAACCCAGTTTTTTTCTACAACACTAATGAGAGACCACTAGAGGTGTAGACATGAACGACTGCAGCCATTATTCCGGAGGTCATGAGATATGCCAATTCCGGCCAGGTACGGTGACTCACACCTGTAGTCCCAGGACTTTGGGAGGCTACGGCAGGAGGATCTCTTGACCCCCGGAGCTGGAGACTAGCCTGGGCAATATACAGAGACCTCGTCTCTATTTATTTAAAAAACAATTATTTTACAAAATGATATGGGCCGGGCACAGTGGCTCATGCCTGTAATCCCAACACTTTGGGAGGCTGAGACGAGAGGATCACTTGAGGTCAGGAGTTCGAGACCAGCCTGGCCAACATAGTGAAACCCCATCTCTACTAAAAATACAAAAATTAGCCAGGCATGGTGGCACACACCTGTAATCCCAGCTACTCAGGAGGCTGAGGTGGGAGAATCGCTTGAACCCGGGAGGCAGAGGTTGCAGTGAGCCGAGATAGTACCACTGCAGTCTAGCCTGGGCAAGATAACATCATTAGGACAGAACCTAAGATTGGCCTTTTGAGATGTCTTTTTGCATTTCTGACAACCGACGGCTCCACCTGGACCGGCCAGCTGCTCCTGTGGCTCCACCCAGAAGCAACTGAGTACAGGAGGACCGTTTTCCACACCCCTATGATTGCACCCGGAGCCAATCGGCAGCAAGCACCCATTGCCTAGCCACCCGCCCTTCCCCCAAACTGTCCTTGAAAAACCTCAGCCTCCAATTTTTGAGGAGTCTGATTTGAGTAATAATAAAGCTCTGGGGGTGGTGCCCGGCGCGGAGCACCGCACGGAAAGTGGTAAGTCAGGTGGCCACTGCCCCCGCCCCCGCCCCCGCCCCCGCCGACTTTGTCGCTAGAAGGAAGATGGCGGGTCTGGAGGAGCAGTTATCTGATGAAAGAAGGGAAAAAGCAGCCCGTGCACAGTATAACTCGGAGCAGTTTACTTGTGTAAAAATGGAAGGTTATGAAGATCAGATATTGATAACAAAACATGGCGACTCAGGAAATGGAAAGTTTTTGGATCCAAAGAACAGAATCTGTTTTAAATTTGATCACTTAAGAAAGGAGGCAACTGATCCAAGACCCTGTGAAGTAGAAAATGCAATTGAATCATGGAGAACTTCAGTAGAAACTGCTCTGCGAGCTTACATAAAATAACATTACCCGAATGGAGCCTGCACTGTGCATGGCAAAAAATAGATGGACAGCAAACCACTACTGCATGCATGGAAAGCCATCAGTTCCCAGCAAAAAACTTTTGGAATGGTCACTGGAGGTCAGAATGGAGGTTTACAATCACTCCTCCAACCACTCAAGTGGTTGGCATCTTGAAAATTCAGGTTCATTATTATGAAGACGGTAACGTTCACCTGGTGCGTCATAAAGATATACAAGATTCCCTAACAGTGTCTAATGAAGTGCAAACAGCAAAAGAATTTACAAAGATTGTAGAAGCTGCAGAAAATGAGTACCAGACTGCCATCAGTGAGAATTATCAGACAATGTCGGACACTACTGTCAAAGCCTTACATCGACAATTGCCAGTTACACGCACTAAGATTGATTGGAACAAGATCCTTAGCTACAAGATTGGCAAAGAGATGCAGAATGCATAAAATGAACATTGCATGACTGAATCATTTTAGTGTCTTTGTGTTAAAAAATTATTGTAAAAGTATTCTGAACTGTCAAGCTGCCCAGTCACATGGGCTATTGCCATTTAAAATCACTGTAATTAGTTTGATTAGAGTGCAAAGCTTAGCTAATTAATCATTATTTTTCATTTTGTTCTAAGAGGACTGAAAATCAGTTTAGTTTAAATGTCTTACTTTCTGTTAGTGCTTTCTTTCTTACAATGAAGAGATGGTTCTTCTAGTTTATGGTTAAAAGTTTTTGAAGTGTTTCAAAAACATTTTACTTATTGTAACCCTAAAATTGTTATCTTTTGGTTTATCAAATGGTTAATTTTGATATTTCCCCAGTTGATGGTTGGTGGATTTAGCCATATATGCTGCTAAAGAAATTGTCTATCTTCTCTCCCTCACCTGTTCTATTTATGTAAGGTTGAGATTAGAGGGAAAACATTTTCTATATCGATTGTGTTTTTAAACCTTTCAAGAAGTTTAGCTAGCTTAGTACTTAATTTTTTTTATTTTTTAATTTTTATTATTATTATTTTTTCTTCTTTTTTTTTTTTTTTGAGACGGAGTCTCGCTCTGTCGCCCAGGCTGGAGTGCAGTGGCCGGATCTCAGCGCACTGCAAGCTCCACCTCCCAGGTTTTCGCCATTCTCCTGTCTCAGCCTCCCGAGTACCTGGGACTACAGGCGCCCGCCACCGCGCCCGGCTAGTTTTTTGTATTTTTTAGTAGAGACGGGGTTTCACCATGTTAGCCAGGATGGTCTCGATCTCCTGACCTCGTGATCCGCCCGTCTCCGCCTCCCAAAGTGCAGGGATTACAGGCTTGAGCCACCGCGCCCGGCCTTAATTTTTTTTTTAAACAAGGCAAGGTCTAATGCTGTTTTGAGATTCTGAAATTAAATGAAAATACTTATTTCAGAAATGCATTTAATGCTTTTTTCTTGTGACAGTTATGCACATCAGCTTGAATTCCATATGTCCCAGAGTTATTTTTATCATAAAGCCACAAATGTATTATAACAAGGCAAATTGTAATATATATAATCCTGAACTCAAAAAAGAAAGAAACAAACAAACTCTGATCTTCTGTATAGCCGGCCCTACGTGTATAAAAGTCTTTCTCGGCCGGGCGCGGTGGCTCAAGCCTGAAATCCCAGCACTTTGGGAGGCCGAGACCGGCGGATCACTAGGTCAGGAGATCGAGACCATCCTGGCGAACACGGTGAAACCCCGTCTCTACTAAAAAATACAAAAAACTAGCCGGGCGCGGTGGCGGGCGCCTGTAGTCCCAGCTACTCGGGAGGCTGAGGCAGGAGAATGGCGTAAACCCGGGAGGCGGAGCTTGCAGTGAGCTGAGATCTGGCCATTGCACTCCAGCCTGGGCCACAGAGCGAGACTCCGTCTCAAAAAAAAAAAAAAAAAAGTCTTTCTCTATTGCAATTCCTCTGCCTTGATAAATCTACTCTATCTAGGCAACAGGCAAGAAGAACACATTGGTAGGTGACAAAAGGGTGGCTCAGAAGGTCCTATCTGCTGCTGCTCAGATGCTTTCAGCTTGAAATCATCAATATGCCAGGTCAGGGTATTTTGGGGTGTTATGTCCTTAACTCCTTTGGTCCAAAGAGTTGATTTTACTAATCATTCTGCTTGTGTGTATTTGAAAATTGCCTTCAAAACAAAACCCATGCCTTAGCCACTATGTGGTCCCAACTTAGCAGGTTACTGTAGGTTTCTGAGATGGGTGGGGGAAGGGAAAGGAGGGGGAGGGTTGAACATGGGTTAGCCAAATTCCTCAAATGTTTGTAGCTGTAGAACCCCTTTTGTTTTATTTGAAGAATTTTTATGAGACCAGAAATCGAAGACCTTTCCTTGGGAAGCTGATCTCTCACTCCCTGGGAGGATGCTCAGCTTTGCCTGACTTGGTGCCCTCAGAGAGATGCCTTCTGTGGCTCTTGCAGTGGGGTCGGGTAACAGCAGGAAGCCTGTTGACAGGTAACAGCAAAAGAACAGGTGTGGGGGCGCTGGGTGTGGGGAGAGGGCTCTCAGCGACCTGCTTATAGCTCCAGGAACCTTCCAAGCAGGCACGGAGGAGACCTCTCTGAGTAGGGGCCCAGGAGGAGCAGGCAGGCGCCCGGGCAAGGGAATAGGTGGTTGCAGCATTTCCAGGTCACTGCAGAAGACAGAAGGGGAACATGGCAAGTCCAGCTGGGACTTGAAATTCCCTGAGTTCATTATGCTAATTTATCTTTGTACACTTTCCCACACAGCAGCTTACTCGATCTCCACAACGCTTCAGGAAGTGGGCAAGGTGGATACTGCGCCTCACAGTTTTCAGCACTGAGGGAAAGGTTTCTGTGACTTGTCAAGGTCACACAATCAAAGGTCACAGAAGGGAGGGCACCATGGGAGCCCAGGATGTCCATGCTCTTTCTACTCTGTCACTCAGCATCGGCGGGTTTGGAATCTTTAAATTTGGGGGATCCATTTGGTCTAGAAAGCGTGGGTGTGGCCTGCGGTTACCTGGGAGAGGCATGAGTGCCCCTGGGAGGGGGGTGCCTCATGCAGGCTGTGTAATGCCCCAACAGGAGAGGAGGTGCCTCATGCAGGCTGTGCAATGCCTCAGACAGGAGAGGGGGGTGCCTCATGCAGGCTGTGCAATGCCCCACCTGGAGAAGGGGTGCCTCATGCAGGGGCTGGTTTAGGAGGCAAGAGGTTAGATTCATGAACCGTTAGCGAGGGGATTGAATGCGGAGGAGGGGGCCCGAGACAGGGAGGGGCAGAGAACAGATCCAGGAAAGGGTTCCGGGGCCTTGAGGCCCTGATGGGCCAGATGCGTCCCCGGTCTGGGCCCAGCCTGCAGTGCAGGCCCAGCTGGGTGGAGGCACCGCCCCGGAGCTCCAGGCTGATTCAGACACCAGACGCCCCCTTCCGGGGTCCTCACCTCCCGCATTCCATCAGCTGCTGCTCCCTCTGGTATTGTTTACTTTTCTCTGGGTTTATTTACCCGGTCCCGACCCCCTCATTATTGCCTTGTGTTATCACCCAGAGTTTTACCATGAGTAAAACCTACCTGTTTTGTTTCTTTGCTTCATGACTTTCTTAAAAGTAAAAATAAAAATAAAAAACAAGGAAGTCATTTGGATGTTTACAAACAAACAAACAAAGAGAAACAAGGTGGGCTCCTATCACCCTGGTGTTGTGCCCAGACCCTCTGTTCCCCAAAGAAGACCACCAGAGTCCAGAGTCAAAGCCAAGCGGCAAGGATCTTTATGACAAGTTCGAACCTGGTCCCTCCATTACACAGCATACAAGAGGGCCCCGAACAATGCGAGTGCTTGCTTTTTTATAGCCCGAAAGTTACAGGGGAACAAAGGAATTCTTTCGGTTCCCGCGCTTTCAGTAAAACCTTGAACGGCTGTCTCCTTATCGGAGACCTTCCAGGTGGTGTTTGTACTGGGCTCAGGAAGTTTGAGAGATATGTGGTGGGATGGGAGGATGGGATGTGTTTGTACTGGGCTCAGGAAGTTTGAGAGATATATGGCGATATGTGGTGGGATGGGAGGATGGGATGTGTTTGTACTGGGCTTGTTTGTTTTGAGCCCGGGGCTGAGGAATGTGCCTGGCTCCTCTCACTGGCTTGGAAAGGGGCGGGCACCAGTTACACTCCTGAGAGGCAGGAGCAGAGCTGTGACTCTAACTTGATTAGTTTACTATGGTAAAGTGTGCATAATGTAAAATTCATCATTTTAATCAGTTTAATTTATTATTTATTTATTTTTAGAGACAGGGTCTCCTTCTTGCCCAGGCTGGAGTGCAGTTGCGTGATCATAGCTCACTGTAGCTTCAAACTCCTGGGCTCAAGCAATCCTCCCACCTCAGCCTCCTGAGTAGCTGGGACTACAGGAGGGGACCACGGTGGCAGGCCAGGTCTCACTAACCCTGGCCTCCAGCACAGCTGTTTCAGGACTGACTGAGTGGTTAAGTTAAATATTAAAAGCTGAAGAAAAGCCAGTAGGAGTTATTGAGAAATCATTTTTAGGCAGATAGTAAGTGTAAAGGTTCTCGGTGGAAATGTTCTTGTCAAAAGAACCCCTGAACTATCTCTTTTCTAACAGAAAAGGTGGCTTGAAGGGCTGGGCTGGCAAGCTTTAATATGCAAATGCCGGCCATTACAAACTGGGCTCACTCAATATGGCAATTCCCACCATCTTCTCCTTGCAACCAGGTGTACCAGGTGTCTTGGGCCACCTCAGATAACACCATGTGTTTGGAACATCTTAGCGACCCACATTTGCATATTAAAGGACTAAGGTGGGAGGGCCAGGTTTTTCGAGGGCTATGTAAACCACTCACCTGATCAAACCAATCCCCTGGGGCTTATGGAAACCAGACATCACTTCCTCCAGCATCCCAATAGAAGCAGCCACTTTTCTGCCCCACATGGGGTTTTCTTTTTGTTTGAATCCCCCCTCCCTCTGTCTCTGTATAGGGGAGTTTTCCTCTTCCTTCCTTCCTTCTTGCCTGTTAAACTTTTCGTTCCTTAAAATCACTCCACGTGTGTCCATGTCGTTAATCCTATCAGTGCGAGACCGAGGACGCTGGTGTTCCTCCAGTCATCGGAGCCGTATCACAAAGGCTGGAATGTAACAAAAGCCCACCAAGAGTTTTGCCTAGGCCTTTCCTGGGCCTTAAAGCATGACAAAACAATGAATGAATTCTTAACAGGACCCATTTAGGATTAAACAACTTTTATTGGGGGTCTGAAGAAACTCCCCAAGCCTCCACAAACACGTTTATTGGAGGTCTGAAGGAACTCCCCAAACCTCCATGATTTAGCAGGAGACAAGATAAGGGTAATCACCCCAGCACCCAGACCCATTTAGATAAACTTACTGAGGCTCCTGAAGAAGGTCTTCGGACTCAGACCTTAGTTATAGATTGAAAGAAGTTATCACTTATGTCTTTAGATGAATGCACACTTACACACAGACATAGAGCTTAGAAGGTATATAAGCTCT